CAAAACTGCAAAAGAAGATGGGTAAGTATGGATTAAATTATTTCTACTTTAATTGTTTTTTTACAACTTCTATTGTTAGGAGTTCAAATTGTTCTGAACTGATTTCTTAACTGAGCTATGGTATGTTTTTAAAGATATTGATTTGTGAGGAACTTCTGAGTTCCTCTTAGTCACTTAGTAGTTGTGTAGATAAGATGCTTTTTTAACATGCTGCCTTTGGCTAACTCAGTGAAATTTGACCTTCATGTTTCTGGTTATACCAGAACTATGATATGATATGTGGGCCATTTAATCAGGTGCTTACAGGGACTGTTAACTTCAGGAGATGAACCTAGACCCATCCCTAACTTAGATGTAGCTTTACTTCATCTAATGCCATGAACTTTTTTTGAAGATCGCTCTACATCAGAAATGCCTGTTATGCTAAGCATTGTTTTCTGTAATTCCTGTAATGAAGAGCATTTTGTTCTTTAGTCTTTAGAAAATTTCTAGCTTATAAAAATGTTTATGTGTAATTTATTTTACTTACTAAGGAATTAGGTATTTGGATGTTAAAAATGCCCAAATTCTACCACGTTTATGTGTTAGAATTGATTTCCCTTTATCTTAGAGTTTCTGGATATATCCTTATTGGGAATGGTTGAGAAACTTACTGACCATCATGCACTGAATGACCTGATACTAAGATCAGCCCTGAAGGATTATGGGATGGACAGATGCAGATGCAGTAGCCCAAGAATACCATTAGCCGTTAATCTTTAGTCTCCTAATGTATTGGTTCTGTGTTGTAGGAAGCATTTTGCTCAGATGAATGGTCACCAGTGTATGATAATTAACTTAATGAAACCTAGCATGAATCATTTGTTTGGTTCCTTTATAGTGTTTGTAGAGAAAAATCACAGAAAGCCATCCAGGATGAAATCCGTTCAGTCATCAGGCAGATCACAGCTACTGTGACTTTTTTGCCACTGCTGGAAGTTTCTTGTAAGTATTGTACAACCTTAAATTTTCTGTGGGAAATGTATGCTCCTGTTGGGAGGATCCACATTTATTAAATCTCTTGATTTATCACTGGCTTGTAATATAAGTGGGATATGGGAAACAGAATGCAGCACGAACCACACATGCGTGTCCCAGAAAAAGTGAGGGCAAGGACTGAGGAGATGGCTCAGTGGATAAAGTACTTGCTTAGCAAGTGTGAGGTCCTGACTTAGGGTCCCCGGCACCAGGACCCTCCAGGTGGTTATGGTGGCCCACCTATATATAACTCCAGCCCACCTATATATAACTCCAGCCCAGAAAGCCACGGTGGGATCACCAGAGCAACCGGCTAGCAAAACTAGCCATCTTGGCAAGCTCCACCTTGGCTTAAGAAATCCTTCCTCAGTGAATAAAGTGGAGGGGCAATCATTAGCTTGGGAACTCCACACGTGTGCTTCCCACACACGCTCAGAAAATGAGAAAAAAAATGAAAACACTGAAAAAAGTGAAGATATCAACAGTACCTTCTCAGAGTTTCTTACAACTCCTTTTCCTATCACTTTTTACTACAAAGTATATTCGTTTCTAAACTCGGTTTTCTTGAGGAAAATAATGAGAGCAAGCTAAGCTAACTCTTTAGTGAGGGGGTTTCAAATAAGTTCTAGTGAGAATGGTGAGGACAGCTTCAAATCTTAAGAAATACTGTAATCTCGTTTCTAACTTAGGTTCATTTGATCTGCTGATTTACACGGACAAAGATTTAGTTGTACCTGAAAAATGGGAGGAATCAGGACCCCAGTTCATTACCAATTCTGAAGAAGTCCGTCTACGCTCATTCACTACCACAATCCACAAAGTGAACAGTATGGTGGCCTACAAAATCCCTGTCACTGATTGAAGAGGAGGTGAGGAAACAATGAAATTAGCATTCTCAAGTGTTGTTTTTCCAGAAATTAAATCAAATATACTTGATACATTCTCTTCCCTTGGTTCATTTTCAGGTAAAGAAAGCCAGGATCCTTGTTTGATAAACGTTCCTTGTTGTTCCATTTCTTGGGTTCCTCCTGGACTTGCCATAAAGTCAGCATAACAAGACTGACTGCTGCACATTAAGGCAAACCGACCGATCTTTGTCAACATTGTGGAGTGGAGTCCTTTAAAAGTGGTCATTGTAGATAGGAATTCTTTTGTTAGAAAGCTAAATGAATCCTTAACCGTTTAGCTCAGGAATCTTGACCAGGAAATAGAGAAGCATATAATGTAAATACAGCAGAAGGAACTGAGGCTTTGTTTAGTTCTGAGAGTCATGAATACTGCCTTACTGGGTCCTTTTGTCATTTCTCTTTGTATATAGACCCCATATTGAAATACATGCTAATTCATTAATTTTAGTGTATATACCATGGACTCACAAAGCAATTGATGCTGATTAGTTTCTGTAATAAAGAACTCTTGTTTTAATGTTTTATAAAATCAAGTTTTAAATGACAGTGATACAAAAAATTAAGTTAACTTGTGTTTTACATTTGTGTTATAGTGGCTATATAAATAGTGTGGTGTTATGGTCAGATACTGAGTAAATTGAGTGAGTGGGCTGTTCGCTTTGGTCATTTGCTGCCTTTTTATCACAACAGTGCAGGTAATGTGAAGAGACAATGTCCTTTGAAATTAGTTCAAATACTAGGCTACAGTATCCTGGTTTTTGTTTTTTTTCCTGTCATATACATTTATTCTCAAGTTGTCATATCAACATTTTAATGACATTTCAAGTAAATGTCATTACTTGAAATGGGTAAAAGTCATTACCAAACATTGTCTGCGCTATCAATTCAGTTATTAGACAGGGACTCCAGTGGCATCGCTATTTGGAGAGGTAAATTGGGATGTGAATAGTAAGGATAGTAGTTTTTGATAAGTTCTAAGTTTTTTTCTGTCTATAAACTTGGTTTACCTTTGATTAACATATAATAACAATAGCAAACAAGTTTAAAATATTTGTCAGGCAACAAGACTTTTGTGAATATACTTACAGATTTAACTACCCTGGACTACAGACTTCAAGACACATGCTATCGTTAAACTCCCCATCACAGGAAGCATGCCAGGCCAAGGGCTCAGGTCCAGAACCACATAACTCAGATTGAGCATCAAGGAAGCTTAAGCCTAGACAGGTACAGGATGCTATTCTGTTTCTCTAGAGCAGCCAAGTACTGCAGTATCAGGAGGGAATGGGTAAGAGGAACAGCCAAACACAGTTACTGTGTTAAGGGTGCAGACACCATGGTAAGGAGCTGTGTGCTCATTTGTTACGTTCTTTCCTCAAAATCACTTAAAGTAGGATCAAAACAAAACACTTCCGATTAAAATGATTCTAAGTAATTGTATTTTAGAACAGAAATAAAGTTGTGAAATCCAACAAGTATTCCCCCTTTAAATTGAACCTAATAAACTAAAACCTTTATTATAGCAACTCTAGAATGTTCTCCAAATCTGGAACCATGTATACACACATTGCTTGTGGTTGTATACATTATATCACATACTGTGAGTGGTGGTGGCTCACTCTGTGGATGGATTTTATCTAGAAAAGTTACCAAAATACTTTAAGCTAAAAAGAGCTGTGTTAAGAGCTCAACAGTATTCAAGTGAAAGTAAATTTGGGCAAATAACAAAAAATAATAATGAGTTGGCTTTCTAAATATTCAACAACCATGATGCTTACTTTATCAAATGGGCCCTTTATCTTGAGTTCCATAGATGAGTCTGAGTTCCTTCCCTCAATCACCAAACTTTATTTCTGTTCCTCTTCCTTATTCATTTTCTTTATACAAACTCCATCCTATTTTCTGGATTATGGCACCCTCAGACAGGATGGTCCAAGAATGCAGCATGTCTTTGAGCTACCCAGACAAGTCCTGCCTTGGTTAGCAGCCCAGTGTAACGGCTTTCCACAGTCTCTTCATTTTCATGTTTGTGGAGTGAACAGTCATTTATCCATTCCCAGAATGGCAGACTGTTTAGCCTAAGCAGCCCTCAGTATTAACTTGTGTCAGAGAGGCATTCTAGCAGCCACTGCTGCCATCTGCTGGTCTTCCTGCGAAAAAGCAGTGCACAAAGGCCCAAGTGTGTTGAGTTGATGTAGAATGCAAGCATCATCAGTAAGTAGTATCAGAAACCCTGTGTCTCCTTGAAAATGAAGATACAGCACAGCATTAAGTCCATGACCAGCAGTGATGACTGGAAAGCTGATCATGGCGCTCAGAGAGTGGTTGACTGAACCAGCAGTGATGGCCCATAGTACCCCTGACAGGAAACCTGGTCAGACTGCCTCTGGATACAGCTTTGGCCTATTTCATGGCTACACAATAGGCCACAAAGTAGACTACTGCTGGAGTGTGCAAAAAAAGTCAAATGATACCAACTAGCACCTGCATATGTGCTGTCATATCTTCCTGTGGTCCCTGATGTAAACAATTGGTACAAATGTAGATGCATATAGAGTATTTGAGATATCACTGCAAGGCTGCATCCACAATGCAGTAGTACATGGCAGGAAGACTACTCACCCAGGAGGAAATGGCAGGGGTCTTCGGTTGTGTTGATTACAGACACTGTCATCAGTGTGCGTTGTCCACAATGCATGGGTTATTCAGAATTTCACTTTTGATAAGGTGAGAGCACTTACAGCTGTCAGTCCAGCTCCAAAGTGATTCAGCGTGGGGCTTGAGACTTCTGCATCCTTTCCAAACAAGCCAAAATTTGAGCTTGCCCAGCCATTAAGGTTTTTTTTTTTTTTTTTTTTTTTTTTCCACATTTTCAAGTTTAATAGATACTACAAAAAGAACAGGCTGATTTCTGCAACAGGTATATCATATAGTCTACCCACAACACAGCTCAGGCCATTCCCAACAGTGGAAGAAAGGCCAACCCCCACCCCCAGCACTGTAGGAAAGGCATGTCTTGGATGACACCAAGTTTTGTTTTTAAGCATGAATAGAGTACAAGAGATTTTCTTCTGGCTGCCCAATGGAGTCTGGCAGAAAAATGGTTCAGTGCTCACTTCTGCTTAGAGAAATATTCTTTGCTCTTTTGGACATCAGGCTTGATGGTATCACTGCCAGGTTTCCAGCCGGCTGGGCACACTTCACCATGTTTGTCAGTGAACTGGAAGGCCTGAACTAGTCTCAGAGTCTCGTCCACAGAGCGGCCAACAGGAAGATCATTTACAGTGATCTGTCGAAGGATACCTTTATCATCAATAATAAAGAGGCCCCTGAAAGAGATACCTTCATCAGCCTTTAAGACTCCATAATCCTGAGCAATACGGCGCTTGGGATCTGATACCAAAGGAATGTTCATAGGTCCCAATCCTCCTTGTTTCTTGGGTGTATTAACCCATGCCAGATGACAGAAGTGAGAATCCACAGAAGCTCCAATCACTTGGCAGTTCAGTTTCTTAAATTCTTCTGCCCTATCACTGAAAGCAATGATCTCAGTGGGGCACACAAAAGTAAAATCCAGAGGGTAAAAGAAGAATACGACATATTTTCCTTTGTAATCACTTAGGCTGATATCTTTGAATTGGCCATCTGGCATAACAGCTGTGGCTTTGAAGTTGGGGGCAGGATGCCCAATTTTTGCATTTCCTGAAGACATCTTGATATCAGCAGGGCCGAGTCACAGGTCTCAGAGAAAGAAACAGCTACGCAAAGGAAGGAAGACCCCATTAAGGTTTTAAATGATCCTCAAATAGGGTTCCCAAGAAGTAAACCAATGGTTTTGATCATTGTTCCCTGTTGCTGAAATGTACCCAGCAAGCAACACAAAAGGCCAGTATTGATGACAGTGTAGTGTCAAGTTGACTACCACGGTGACCAACCAAATGCCAGCACAAAGCACTCACTGAGGGAACGTCTCCTCACCAGTGTCATTTTATAAGTGGTACAAAGGTGGAGCCAAATGAGAATTACTTCAGCAGAGGAGAGGTAGCCATGGTGAAGTCTGTTCTGTTATTGCTCGTAGTTGCATGGGTGGCAGAGAACTCTCTCACTTTCAGTTTGCTCTGAGAGTTTCTCCAGGGAGTGGCAATCTTCAGACCCACATGACCTTGGTGGGTGCTCACTACGCTAACTGCAGAACCCAGTCCAGCTATTCCTAGAATCCTCTGTACTCTTAATAGTGTCAACCTCATGTTTCTTACAACTTTGAGCACCACGCTTTCAGCCAATGGCTTAACAGAGTAAATCTAGGTGAGAAAACTGAACTGAACACTCAAGAGAGAGAAAGCAGAGTCAGGAGAAGCCATATAGCTGCCTGCAGGAGACAGACGCACCTGAACCTTACCAGGCAGCTGGGAACAAATGAAAAGCCTCGACCAGCACACTTCCAGAGGATCCAGTATCTTCTGACCTCTGGATTGCCCACACCTGGTGCACATACAGGGAAAATCTCCGTACATACATAATTTTAATTTTAAAGAAAACAAGAATTTTTACTGATGTCTTTTTTTCTTTTACCCAATTCTTTTATTGAAAAAAAAATAGACCTAACATACATTTATCTTTTTTTCCCTTATATTTTGGGCTTTTTGAGACAAGCTCTCTCACTGTAGCACATGCTCAAGGAATTCATGTAGCACAGGCTACTCAAGAATTTGCAACTTCTTCTAACTCAGCCTTCCTAGGGCTGGAATTGCAGGAATGAACTACCATGCATGTGTTTCCTGCTTTCTGCTATAACCAGTCACATTAAATACACTGAGAACACTGTGCCGGTGTCCCCACTGACCATTCCCATATACTTTGTGTGAAACCATTCTTTGACCAGTAAGTTCCTGTTACTCCTCCCTGAGTCTGATAGCTGACTCTCTGTCTCTCATTTTTACTGTTTATAAATAACTCATACAAATTAAATCCCACTGTATATAGTGATAGTTCATTTGTGTTTTAATAAATAAAGCTTGCCTGAAGATCAGAGTGCAAATTTAGCCATACTAGTCAGCCGTACAGTCCAGGTGGTGGTGGTGCACACCTTTAATCCCAGCACTAGAGAGGAAAATAAGGCAATTTGAGACAGGAGCTCGCAGTCTGAAGATTTTGTAGAGGTGAGAAGAGCTCTCCAGTGGTTGGTTGGTTTGCTTTTCTAATCTTCAGCTTAAACTCCTGTAGGGCCCTGGTCTGCCCTTATTCCTGGGGCGCATCTCGAAGACAATTTTTGGTCAACAGGACTAAGTATTCAGCCCTTATTCCTAGGGCGCATACAGTTTCTAGTCAGATGACTAGCATTCTGCCCCGCCTGGTTATGTTCCTGTATTTTCCCCTGCCCCGCCTGGTGATTGGCTGCAGGGCATTCATTCCATTGTTGATATGGTAATTTCCCACCTGCCTGGGGGGGGGAGGTCCTATTGCTGCAGTTAGGTAGAAAAGGACCTTCCCAAGTCTAAATAAAAGGCATTTGCTTGATCTCCTACTGAATGACCCTGATCTCTCTATGTCTTACGTTTAACCTCCAGGCCTTGCCCAACTTGCATTGGGTACAATGGTGCTGGTGCTCGAGCTGTACCAAAGGTGTAACACCAAAACCGGGTGTTACAAACTCCAATATCTGTTTCTGGGTTTTTATTATTTGTGCTACAACTGTTTGTCAGTTTGTGTATGTTTTATTGTCCTGATGTCCTTAGGGTTACCCATACAGTATATCTCAGAATTCCCTATTTACCAAGTAATATACTGTGTGTGTATGAACCACACTTTATCTGCTTTTCCATCTTTCAGCAGTGTGAATAATGCAGTTGCAAATGTGGATCTGATTATTTTGAGTACAGGCTTTCAATCATTTTGGGCATATACCACAATACAATGCAGGATTGTATGAAAATTCTGTTTTTCACTTTTTGAGGCACCAGCATTTTTTTTTTCTGCAATGGATGTTATTGTTGAAGACACTCAACAATATTGTATGTTACAACATAGCCAATTTATAAGTAAATTCCACTTTCTTTCCATCTGTTCAATACATTAGTGCTGGTAAGGTTCTAAAGCCGCTTGCTAGTGGTGTAATGTTTTCAAAGCCCTTCCATTTTCAAATCGTTAAAGCACATGTCCTTATGGTGTTTTAGGTCTATAAATGTTTATGCTTGCTATGTCTCCTTTGTGTACTGACCCTTTAAAATATATAATACCTATTGTATTTTGTCTTTTTGATTGAAAGTCTTTACCTTGTGTTGATACAGCCATTTTTGCTCTCTTCTGCTTGTATTTTTGCCTGGAATGAATATTTTCACCCCAGAGTTCCGCTGGTGTGCTGCTGCTCCTTCGCCCAGAGTCCCTTTAACATTGGAGAGAGATTTAACATTGGAGAGAGATTCAGTGCTAGCTAATATACATACTAACTATATCATGAATAAGGTGTCATTGGCATATCCTTTCTGTCTAATGACAAATACTTTAAAGGTCCATTCACCTGCCTTGTGAAAGAAGTTCGCAGCTGGTTGGGACGTTCAGGTGTATACTCTGCACTTTCTTGTTTGATTTTTGTGTGTGTGTGTGTTTTTATTTATTTATTTTTTATTTTTTTGATTGAGGATGTCTCTGTATAGCCCTGTCTGTCCTGGAACTTGCTCTGTAAACCAGACTGAACTTGAACTCAGAGATCTGCCTGCCTCTACCTCCTGATTGTTGGGATTGAAGACATGCACCACCACTACCAAACTATTTTAATCCTAGCATTTCAAAGGTAGAGGCAGGAGGATCTCTGAATCTGAGACAGGAGGAGGAGGAGGAGGAGGAGGAGGAGGAGGAGGAGGAGGAGGAGGGGAGGGGGGGGGGAGGGAGGAAGAAGAAGAAGAAGAAGAAGAAGACG